CTTGCGCTAGGCAACACACTTCAACCGAGGGAACAACAAATCGTTGGCTCCTCTTCTTTCATCTTCTTCAACTCTCTGCTGCCAAACCCTCAGCAATGTTCTGTAGAAACATCTGTCACCTTCATGGCCTGTTCCTCAACTTCAGCGCGTAGCTTACAATCCTGAGCTCCTGAACTCTGGACTGGACCCAGGCTTGACCTTGTCTGCCTCCTCCTTCTCGGCGACGCTTCCCCAAAAGGAATGTTGTCGTCATCAAAGTCAAGATTTACGAATGCGCCATGGTGAGTCCTGTTGGAGTTGATGATGCACCACGCCGTCTCTGCAGTTCTCAAGGGTCTTGACAAGAAAGTTGATATAGACCTGTGTACTGCGCCTGCCACGAAATCTGCACTCCAGGTTCACAGAGTGCTGTGCCTGCCACGAAATCTCCATTCCGGGTTCACCAAGTGCTGTGCCTGCCACACAAACGGCAGCCGCCGCCCAGCGACGACCGTGCGCGCTGCAGCTGGCCCGGGAGGCTCTGTGTACTGCGCCTGCCACGAAACTCCAGGCTCACAGAGTGCTGTGCCCGCCACCCAGCAGCGACCACACGCGCCGCCGCTGGTCCGGGAGGCTCTGTGCACTGCGCCTGCTACGAAATCTGCACTCCGGGCGCTGAGAAACATGGTGAGGTTGGTGATGGCTCATAGGACCGTGCGGAATGGCAAGACTTGGCACATTAGTTTTGACACCTACACACATGATTCAATCAAAGAACCTCGAGGATGGCTTGCATACAGGTTTTGCTTCAATCCATTGGAAGTTGACATCATCCAATGTGATGTTACCTGCATTGAGTCCGAATCGGGTTGTGATTCTGAATCTCAACAGAGCTGGAGGCTGAAACTCAAATTCAGAGATGTTCCAACCTCCAACATGAAATTGCCTTGGTCTGACAGAATGCGAGAATTCGCTACTTGGTTTTTTCAACAGACTGGATCTGGCTGGTGCTGCAAGCTGTATTTGCGCTGTGCCCGCCATACAAACGGCAGCAGCGGCCCACCGGCGACCACACGCGCCGCTGGCCCGGGGGGCTCTGTGTATACTGTGCCTGCCACGAAACCTGCACTCCAGGTTCACAGAGTGCTGTGCCTGCCACGCAAAAGGCACATGTGTGACCACGCGCGCCGCAGCTCACAGAGTGCTGCGCCTGCCGCGCAAAAGGCAGCCGCGGCCCAGCGGCGACAACGCGCGCCGCCACTGGTCCGGGAGGCTTTGTGTACTGCGCCTGCCACGAAACCTGCACTCCGGGCGCTGTGCCTGCCACATAAACGGCAGCCGCGGCCCGGCGGCGAAATCTACACGACAGGCAGGTGGTGTAATATGAGTGGTGTAAGATGAGTTGTGTAGGATGAGTGGTGTCAGATGAGTGGTGTAAAATGAGTGGTGTAAGATGAGTGATGTAAGATGAGTGGAGTAAGATGAGTGGAATAAGATGAGTGGCGTGAGATGAGTGGAGCGAGATGAGTGGTGTAAGATGTCTGGTGTAAGATGAGTGGTGTCAGATGAGCAGTGTAAGATGAGTGGTGTGAGATGAGTGGTGTAAGATGAGTGGTGTCGTATGAGTGGAGTGAGTTGCGTGGTGTCGGATGAGTGGTGTGAGATGAGTGGTGTAAGATGAGTGGTGAGAGATGAGTGGTGTAAGATAAGTGGTGTAAAATGAGTGGTGTAAGATGAGTGGTGTAAGATGGGTGGTGGAAGATGGGTGGGTGGTGTAAGATAGGTGGTGTGAGATG